TCTACCCCGCTTTCTGAAGAGTCAGAGATTCACAGGAGGGGAGGGTGAGATGGAACCCCAGAGATCGCATCATTGCCAGCAGCCTGTTCCACAGAGAAGGAACCAAAGCCGGCCCTGCTGCACGAGGGCAATGAGCCCGGGGGAACACAACTTGGGAACACCCGCGGGTGCCGCCTGGTCAGACTCTCCAGGTCACCGAACATTACAGGATTAGAACAACGGGAACAAACTTGGGTGGGAGAGATGAGTGCAGAACCACCAAGCAGGGCGGGCAGGTGCAGGCCTTCTCCCAACAAGGGGTCACAGGCTAGAACAGGCGAGCATCGGTGGGGGTGGGGAGGGAAGGGACAGTGGACAGAGCTCAGGAATGGGGGTGACTCTGCTCCGCAGCAAAGGCCCATGCGAGACAACAGGGCTGGGTGTGTGGCATCCTCGGAAAAGTCTCGAAGGGCACAATAGGTTTTTATGGGAAACCAGGGAGGTCCAGTTAGCACTGGGGCAGGCGGGGAGAATGGTAAGAGTAGCAAAAGCCCAGGCCTATGGGAGTCAGGTCTCTCTGGTTCAAGGGCCCCGGTGGTTGGTACTTGCTAGCTCTGTGGCCTTAGATATGTCCTTAAGCAAGTGACATGTCTGAGCCTCAGATCCCTCACCTGCACAACAGGGAGAATGATAAACAGATTCCCGCCTCCCAGGACCACCAAGATAAAAGTCTAAACGTCCAAGAGAGACGGGGACCCAGGCTCAGCAATGACAAGGAACTGGTTCGAAGTCATGTGGTCAGGGTTCCGTAGGATAGTGACCCATATCCACACTGGAAATTCTCCTCCAAAGTCTGGGCTGGGCCCTTTCCACCACAGAAGCACTGCAGGGTTTGACTCCGGGCTGTACCCAACTCTCCCACCCCGAAGGGAACCTGACATGCAAGCTGGTGTTTGATACTCTTTTTCAAAAACTAACTTTCCAGTCCTCAGTTCCCCGAAAACTAACTGGCAGCCGAAGGACAGGGGTGAATCCTGACATACCAGCACCAGCCACAGATTTCTGAACACGGTTTTCGTGCCAGGCCTTGTAGTAGATGTCCTGACTCTATCTCAGTGAATCTTCTCAACCTCAGAGGTAGGTGCCATGAAAATCCCCTTCCACATGAGGAGGCTGGGACCAGAAGGCAAATGACTCGCCCACCGGCACTTGTGAGGATAAGGCTGGTCCCTTGACGGAGACGCTCGCCGCCTCTGCCGGTCAGGGGGAGCGGGGGGGGGGGGGCGGGGGGCGCGGGTTGGTGTTAGGGAGACGGGAGCGCTCCACTCTCAGAAGTGGTCTGAACTTCAGCTTGGCTAGCAAACCGCGGGTATGTGCAAAGAAGAGCAAAGCACCTGGAAGCAGGAGGGGTCGCAGAGAGGGCGGGAAGACCACGGTGCTGATGGTGGATGGCCCAGGGAAGCAGCCTGTAGCCCGGCGGTGCTGGAGACCACCCACCCAGGGGCCGACACCTCAGCACGTGTCCACACTCTCCATCCCTTTCCCAAGGTCAGGAACACACACGGGCAACAGCCTCCAGCCATGAAGGACAGAGAGGGGGGCTCCGGGGCGTGGGTGAGAACTGAAGGAGGGGAGAGAGGACGCATGAGAGAGAAACAGAACCTGGGTGCATCCGAAAGTCCAGCAGGACAAACTCCAAAACCAATGTCCCTTTCTACAATTCCCTATCATGTTTGGCTTTTTCTTTTCCCCCAAGGAGTACATACTACTTTTCATAAACTGTGAAAACAACAAATATGATTTATTATTCATATAGCCCACAGAACTAATCACCAACTTGCCCCAACAATATCAGAACCAGATGTTCATCACAGCACTATTTACAAGTGACAAACCAGAACCACAGCCAACATCCACCAAGAAAATTCAGTAACTTTGCCGACAGAGAGAACATTATGCAGCCATTAAGAAAACAAGTCTGTGGGACTTCCCCGGCGGTCCCGAGGCTAAGACTCCACGCTTCCAGTGCAGGGGGGCCCGGCTTCGATCCCTGCTCAGGGATCCCGCATGCATGCCGCAACCAAGAGCCTGCATGCTGCAGTGAAGATCCCGTGTGCCGCAACTAAGACCCGGTGCAGCCAAATAAATAAATAAAATATATATATAACAAAAAAAAGAAGAAAGAAAGAAAAAGAAAACAAGCCTGAGTGGAGCCTTTAACAAAAGGGGAAACTTGATCAACAATATGTTAAGTGTGTTTGAGGGGAACAGGTACAAACAGAAAACAATTTTGTTTAAAATATATAAACTGGGCTTCCCTGGTGGCGCAGTGGTTGACAGTCCGCCTGCTGATGTGGGGAACACGGGTTCATGCCCCAGTCCGGGAAGATCCCACATGCCGTGGAGTGGCTGCGCCTGTGAGCCATGGCCGCTGAGCCTGCACGTCCGGGGCCTGTGCTCCACAACGGAGAGGCCACAGCAGTGAGAGGCCCGCGTACCGCAAAAAAAAAAACAAATATATATATATATATATATATATATATATATAAAAACATGTTCTATTTCTACAGAGAGAGAAAAAACTCAAAGGACGTTCGTGACAGGTGGCTGCTGGTTATCTCTGGGCCACAGGTAAAGACGTTTTGCTCTTACCAGCCACAAAGGAGGCTCTCCTGGACCACTTTGAAAGACATTTTCAAACTGCTTCTGGAGGGTCAGAGGATCAAGCGGGACGGAGGTGCCACCTTGGCAGGTGGCCCGGGTCCCACGGCAGCACCACACCATTTGAGGCAGCAAACGGGTCCAGAACGACCCGGCTAGAGAGTCCCTGGGTTCTGTGGACAGACGGGCCTGGCCTCAACACACCTCAGGGTGTTTCATCTTCTCCCCATCAGGCAAATGATGGCACTGAGGCCTCAGACAGCAAAGTGAGAAGGCTGAGGCCCAAAGCTGGCTTGGGGACACCCTTGTCCTTATTGAAGTGGGAGCCGGGAGTGGTCAGCATGGGATATTCACTCGGTACATACTCTTATTAAGCACTGAGCTCAGGGGAGGGCTGGGCCTCACATTTATCAAGTTCAATAAATGGGTACCCCCAGCCCCCCACTGTGTATCTCCCCCTCCTCTTGTGCCAGGCTCCCTTCCCCTCAGGCCACACTCCTAGGCCATCAGCTCAGTCCCAAAGGCATCCTTTCTCCTCCAGGCTTTTGATGCTCCTGTCAAAACACTGTAAATAACGTATTTCCACTTGGCAGGGCCTGCAGCAAAAATATTGCCCAGGCAGGGAGAAGGGAGTGAGGCAAGGGCTGCTTCCACGCCAGGAAACCCACACCCTGCCTGCCCAGGGATCCAGGGGCCCCACCCACCAGGGATGGGAGAGACTCCAAGTCGAGGCCAAATTTCTGCTCCATCAGACAAAGGGATGGGCTTCAGAAGACCCTTCAAGTGATCTCAGGGGCAAGAAAACCAGTGAGCTGCTGGAAGATCCTTACCAGCCCCCAACCTGACCTCAGGCTACTCACGGCTCTCCTTCAGGAGGCCTTCCCACCTGCCCTGGTCTCATCACATTCGTCAGTCTTGTCACTGTCTGGTAGATGAGCCTCAGAGAGGTTTTGCCACTTGCCTAGGGTTGCACAGCTACAAAGGGGAGAAGCCGGACCAGGGGCCAGTCACTGAATTCTCGGTCCAGGGGAAGGTGGGAAGGAGCAGAGCAAGCACTGGCTTTGCCACTGCACAGCCTGGAACCCAATCCCAGTACTGCTGTTCATCTTCTGGGCAGCACAGGGCAAAGCCACTCCACCCGCCTGAACCTCAGTGCTCTCGCCTGGAAAGTGGGAATGTGGGCAAGGCCCAGACTATCACTGCTGCCACCTGGGCTGGTTCACAGAAGCGCAGCCCAAAGACATCACAGCACTGTGGAATCACTACGTGGGCATTTCAGAGCTCTGAAGCAATATCACTAGGTGATCGTTGCCCAGGTGCCCAGGCTGGTCACTTTCTTTTGAGAACCGGGGAGCCCTAAATGTTCCCCCAGGACCCCTGATGAAAGCCCCCCCATTCCCATCGGACCTCTGAGCGCCTCCCAAGTGGCTTCTGTGGAAGTGATGAGTGAGCCCCGCTCCACGCCAAGTTCTTGGGACACAGCGTGAGCCGGGATCTCCTTATAGGGTATGCTCTGAGGGCACTGCAGGATGTTCAAAAAGAGAAAGACTCAGACTGCTGGTCCGTCTGGAAAACCGGCCTGCGGGGAAGGGGGACAAGGCAGCCAGGCCGACTGGGTCCCTGAAAGGTCTGCCCCTGCCTGTCACTCATAAAGGACATCAGAGAACCTGGGAGAAAGGCGGGGGGGGGGGGGGGGGAGAGACTACAGGGTTCCCGGGGGGTTCTCAAGGTAGGGATGGCTGAAGGGGAGCCAAGCTGCAGCTCTGGGTTCACAAACTTTTGGAAAAGCCATGAAATCGCAGCTGTGCACATGCCTCCTGGGGCTTCCCCCAGCCAAGGGGAAGCTAGCATGCCAGGTTGGGGAGGAGGGCTTATGTGGCCAGGGTCAGGGGTCAGCACCCCTCAGAGGTGATGCCTTGGCTGGGTGCAGGGAGATCTCGAAACAGGAGGTAAATCAGCCTGCCCCCAGCCAGGGCAAACTCGGCTCCAATCCCAGAGGGCACCACAAACCAGGCTGCCCACGTCCCAGTCTAGGAGAGGCCTCGGGCTGCCATGTCCAGGAGGGCACCCCCGAGTGGGGACCCCATGGGACCACAGCAGGAGCATCATCCTTGTCAGTCCTGCTCTTAGCAAACCAGACAGGTGTAACTGACACTGTAGACATTTCTGGCTTCTTTTCTTTTTCTTTACTTGTGATAATAAATGAAACAAGAGAGATCCTTTCACTTTGGCTCAGCTACCAACCCGATCGTTCACCTGCACAACACTTTAGATTCATATGAATTTCCATGCGCCGCAAGGACGACGAGGATAATGGCTCCAGTAAATAATAACAGCTGCTTCTGAGGACGGCTACGTACCAGGCTCTGCGCTGTTCCTTCCCTGCACTGGCTCAATCTCATGACAACTCTGCAAGGCCGGTTCCAGTATTATTGCCTTTTTGTCAACGGCTCTTTGGGGGTAACTTGTCCAGTTCTAAGTCCAGAGCCCGAGTGTGCTGGCAGAGTTAGCTGCAGCCCAACACCCATGCCCACTCTCTTCTCCAAGTTCATGTGAGGTGACAGCATGCCCAGCAGAAAGACCGCACTTCTAGCCTGCTGGCCGCCAGGATCGAGTACCTATTAGAACACTCGGGACCAAGGCAAGACAGGCAGCAGTGTAACGTGGGATTTCTGGGGAGGCCACCTAGGGAGAACAGACTCAGGTGCGAGGCAGGGTGCCCTACTCCCTAACCACTTCCCTACGGCCTGGAATGTCAACACGATGGCTGAAGCCCCAGCAGCCGTCTTCGGCAAGGAGGTGATCTGGAGCCTAGAAGCCAGAGCGGAGGATGGCGTGGCATAGAGAGAAAAGGGTTCTGTGCAACTTTACGGAGCACACACACCAGCTCTAAGTTCCTGCGTCCAGCTTCTTTCACACGGAGAGAAATAAACATGGTATTTCTTTTAAGCCACCATTATTTCCAATCTGCTGCTGGCAGATGAATGCAAATCCCGATGGCTCCAGAGTGAGGCTGCAGGCGGACGAGAGCTGGCCAGGCAGAGGGGCTGGGGGTGGGGGTGGTCCAGGAGAGCTCCCCCTCCCCCCGCCAGAAGGACAATGTCCCTGCACCACAGACTCATGGAGGATGTACTCAGGCCACCATACTTCTGCTTCTCTTGGAATTCTCCCTTTTTGTCCAGGTCAAGAGAATAATTTCGTATTTGTGACACTGACGAGGTTCTTCAACATTTGAGGAAGGAAGGTTCAATCTTCTCCATGGTTTTTACTCCCCCTCCTGGGAACTTAGACTTCTTCTCCTCCATGGCAGCTAATCTCATTTCCCTGCACGCTTTGGCTACCAAGAAGCTCAGAACTACCCTGCTGTATACCCTCACAGCAGCGGGCCTGACAGGTAATATTAATCCTCCTCTGTTCCTCAGCCTCGACTTAATCCTATCCTACTAACCTTGCCTTCAGGGAAAGAGATGAGTGTAAACAGTAGAGTTTAGAGCAGAACACTAAAAGGCAGGAATATCCCTAGACTATGAAAGTAACGCAGTTTTCTCTTTCTGGAAATAGCTAAAATGACAAACTAACAAGTTAGCACTTCATAAGTACAAGGGAAATTCTCCGGTTTACGTATACTTTCTGACCTTTCAAAGTGGTGCTACGTGACGTATCACCCTAGTGCTGGGGAAAAAAAGAAAAAAGAAATTCCAAGACCCCTCACCCGGCCTCAGCCTTCACACACCATCAAGCACAGGTTAAGAACCCTCCACAATATACAAATATGTTATTCCTCTACTTCCTCCACTCAAAGGTTCATTAGATCTTCATATACCAGTTTTGAAAGTATTAAAAGATTTTTAAATAGGTGTTAGAAAACCAAAAGAGATGGGCTTCCCTGGTGGTGCAGTGGTTGAGAGTCCGCCTGCCGATGCAGGGGACGTGGGTTCGTGCCCCGGTCCGGGAAGATCCCACAGGCCGCAGAGCGGCTGGGCCCATGAGCCATGGCCGCTGAGCCTGCGCGACCGGAGCCTGTGCTCTGCAGCGGGAGAGACCACAGCAGTGAGAGGCCTGCGAACCGCAAAAAAAAAAAAGGAAAACTTAGCAGTGGTTATTTCTGGAGAATAAAATGATAGGGAACTTTTCTAATGCATATATTTCTACAATATTTAATTATTTTCCACTGATTTCCAAAGATTCAGCGGTAAGATGCGCCTATAAGCCAGAAGGCATGCCCGGCTGGCACAGCCCCCAGAAGAAGACATGGTCCACAGCCTTAAGGAGCTTCCAGAGAAGAGGAGAAGCTGCCAGAATATGTGATTATGCCATGGAATGGGAGCTTCTGTGCCTAGGAGGTTGTGGGCACAGGGGGGAGGGGCCCAGATGAGGGAGAGGCTCTCTGGGCCTGGGGAACCCAGGAAGGCTTTGAGGAGCTAGTGGCAGTGAGCTTGGCCACACAGATGAATGAGTGTCCACCAGATGGAACAGGAGGAAGGCCGCGGCGGGCTGCCGGGACAGGATACACGGAGGAGCAGGCTGAGGCTCTGCAGAGGGTGCTCTGGGGTGCATGTGAGGGCGTGGCCCGGGCTGGGCTCCCCAGAGTGAGAACCAACAGCTAAAGCCTTTGTGGATCCCTCCAAGGAAGGCTCTTCACCCTGTAGGCTGGGCCCTGCAGCCACGCTGTGACAAGATGGAGCTTGTCTGGGAAAGAGCACCTGGGCAGCAGATGGGCCAGTCCAGGAGAGAGGTCAAGACACCCGGGCAAAGGAACTGCAAGGAAGCGCTGGTTTCAGAGATGATGCACAAGCAGTGGTGGGGTGCAGAGGTTATGAGATGGACCAGAGCCTGCACGCTGGTCTCGGCTCTGCCTCACGCCAGCTCAGAGGCCGGGGCAAGCTCTCTCTGACTCAGTTTCCTCATCCGTAAAGCAGGGATAATAAAAGTTTATCCACTGGGACCTCCCTGGTGGTCCAGTGGTTAGGACTCAGCGCTCTCACTGCCGAGGGCCCAGGTTCAATCCCTGGTCAGGGAACTAAGATCCCGCAAGCCACGCGGCACAGCCAAAAACAAAAACCAAACAAATAAAAAGTTTATCCATCAATAGAGCTAATAATTGCACTAAATAATAGTCCTTCTCTGGATTGTTGCGGGGATTAAATTAGTTAATGTACATAAGCGCTTAGAGAAGATCCCAGAACACAGTAAGGCTGTGTCCACATTGCTTTGATCATCTCCCCAACACCGTTATAGCGACCACTCCTAGGGAGGGACCAATATGAACCCAAGCAATTCACGCACATCCCGGGTTTCTAACAGCCACCAGCGGCCCTGAAGTCAGCAGGAAGTACAGCAGGGCCCCAAGGACCTGCCCCAGCGCTGCCTCTCATTCGCCTCCCAGGGGCCGGGAACTGCTACAGCACAGGGGCCAGACCCAGAAGCTGGGCCCATCACCCGGCAGCACCCCAACCCACCTCTGAATGGCCCACTGAGAGGTTAAGAACAAGGGCTAGTCCTTACCTTACAGAGACATGTAGTGACACATTCATGGATGAACTGACAGAATGGTGAGACTGGCCTCAAACTGTCCAGTGGGGAACGAGGTCTCCAGGAAGTGATACTGGCCAGGTGGTCACGGACAGCAAGCTGAGCGATGGGCACACAGGGTGCCCTATACCGCCCTCCCTAATCTGCTATGTCATGTGAGTCTTCCATAATAGAAAGCTCTCGGCTCAGTCCTTCATTCACTCACCCAGCAAACACAGAGCACACACAGGGCCAGGTGCTGCCCTCCTCAGAGACAGGAGGGTTCACCGCAGCATTATTTACAATAGCCAGGACATGAAAGCAACCTAAATGTCCATCGGCAGATGAATGGATAAAGAAGATGTGGCACATATATACAACGGAATATTACTCAGCCATAAAAAGAAACGAAATTGAGTTATTTGTAGTGAGGTGGATGGACCTAGAGTCTGTCATACAGAGTGAAGTAAGTCAGAAAAAGAAAAACAAATATCATATATTAATGCATATATGTGGAATCTAGAAAAATGGTACAGATGAAGCTATTTGTAGTGCAGGAATAGAGACACAGACATAGAGAACGGACGTGTGGACACGGTGGGGGGAAGGGGGGTGGGATGAATTGGGAGATTGGGATTGACGTATATATACTACCATGTGTGAAATAGGTAGCTAGTGGGAACCTGCTATATAGCACAGGGAGCTCAGCTCGGTGCTCTGTGATGACCTAGATGAGTGGGATGGGTTGGAGGCGGGGCTAGGTTCAAGAGGGAGGGGATATATACATACATACAGCTGATTCACTTCGTTGTACAGCAGAAACTAACACAACATTGTAAAGAAACTATACCCAAATAAATACAATGAGATAGATATACCATGAAAAAAAAAAAAGACAGAAGAGGGTTCTGGCCCAGGAGCACAGGCAGCTCCAGTTTGGGGGGAGGGGGTCTGCTAGGGGAGCAGGGAAGCTGTCACTGGCAAGGTGACATACGAACAGGTCTAACAGCACAAATAGAAACATGAGAGTGGGGAGGGGGCTGGAGAGGGAGATGCCAGCTTCTTAGCCACCGAAAGATTTAAGGACGTTTCGTGATCCGCGAAACGGCAGATGGCAACGCCCGTCTCCACTCCTGCTTTCCCAGTGCCAGCTGTGCACCCGGGGTCCTCAAGTCAATTCACCATTTCACACAGAGTCTCAGCCCCAGGAGGTGCACCCTCCCCAACTCAAATGGGCACCAACTATTTGCAATGGAGCTTCTGCAACTGGAAACGTGCTGCCGGCTCACCTGGGGACGTGGATTCGGCAGCTCTGGGTGGCCCTCTAACCCGCTCCCAGGCAATGGCTGGCGCACCACACTTTGAGTAACACTCTAGACAACTTCACCCCACAACGACCTCAAAACAGGTGACTACTTTCAAAGCAGAACCTCTGCTGCTGGCTCTTCCTGTCCCTTTTAAGCCCTTCTTATTTTGCCACGCTCCTTCTTCCTTTTGCTTTTACGTGCTTACTTGTTGTGTCCCCCGAGGTGGCCAGTGAAATCGGAAGGCCCACCAACGGCAGAGGGACAAGGAGATGGAACCCTGACTCGGTGTGGACCGGTGTTGCAGCTGGGGTGGGGGTGGGCTGGGAGTGGGTGCCTGGCTCCCGCAGAGCCCACCCAGGCACCCGGATTCCAGCTTCCCTGGCCGGAGTGCTTTCTGTTTAAGGACTTACTCAAGTTGACTCAGCGAGTCAAAGGCCAGGAAGGAACACCCCAGAACTGAGGTTCACAGCCCTCTGAAGCCACGCAGGACTGCACTGACGCCGGAGATGGTTGCTATTTGTAACAGCAAGTCTAAAAAGCTCCAGAATAAAAATAAAACTGGCAGAACTGAAACCATTCAGTCGACGTCGACAGCACTTACATCGTCATTTTCCCACGCTGCCCTCCAAAACATGATCCCTTATGAACAGCTACTACGAACAGCTGGTACGCTCCCCAACATATAACACTTCCCCGGCCCCATGTATCATTATTATAAAAATACTTTGATGATCATGCTTACAGATAAATGTGACTAACTCCATTAAATATACGTTAAGTAAATAAGAATAAAAACAACTTTCAAAGTTTTGAAAATGATACAAATATCTGTGTTTCAATTTTTAAAAAATGAAATCTATCTTTTAAAAAGGAATTAAGTTAAAATCCACAACAGTTAGAAACCGAAAAGTGTTACTTTGGCAGGGGGGACAGAAAGATCACATTCTTTGCGCAACATATTTTTCCAAGCAGCACAGTTTCACCTGCAGCTGTATCCCCCGCCCTACACACATATAAACCACACTGTTCATAATCAAGGATCAGGGAAAATAAGCCCACAATCCTTGCGCTTCTATTAGGCGTCTTAGGTCCTGCGTGCTAAGTGTCATCCCAATTTAATGATGAGGAAAGTGAGATCACACACAGACAGAAAACAGACTAACGGAAACTCAAACCCAGATCTCTGGAATCCACGTGGAGGCTGCACTCAGCCAAGAACAATCTATATCCCAATTATGGTTCCAAACGGCCACATGGAAACATTCTGTGCGGAGCCAACTTCCCAGTCCCATGGCCACCCTCCCTGGAGGTGCTGGGGTCTGCTGCCAGAGGTCAGCATCAGGGTCATACTCAGGTGGCCTTCAGAAAGCCCCTGCCCATAAGGAAGTGGCGGCTGCCCTGGGCTGTTCCAGCTGCAAGGATGTCAGGGGCCCAAGAAACACCAAGGCAACCGATATCCCCCAAGCCCCTTACACTGGGCTCCAGAGCACCCAGCAGAGGGAGCAGATGGAAGGAAGAATGTTCAGAGGTGTCCAGCCCTACCTGGGCCCCAACTACCTGGAAATAAAATCCAGGGGGCACCAAGGTCAGCCAGCTGGGCCACCCTGGAGACAGACTGGGTGGCAGAGGGAACCCAGCTGGGGATGAATCATTTGACACCTTGAACAACGTACTTATTAAAACAATTTTGAATCGTGAAAATATTAACTAAATAACATACATTTTTTAAAGGTGAATGGAGAGTCCAGCACCTATAATCCTTGGAGGAAGGCGTACCACTCACTCAGCCATGTGACTCTCCTTCCAGCTCTCAGTAAGGAAGCCGCTACTGAACTTAGCTGCCCGCCTTCAGCACACCTGTCTGACCCAGCGTTCGCTCCCCGCTGCTGCTCCTAAGCCCCCCAGTCTGAGGACTGACTCCGCACTCTCTGTCGCCCCCCCCCAACCCAGGCACCACAC